TGACAGTTGATTTGAGTTTTTTCATTTGGTACTATGTCATTTAGACCCCAATAAAGACTCCAAATAATATGCTGTTATGTCATTTGAGATAGATATTTGATCTATAAATTTAGTTAATGTAGCATTACTTGACCTCAAATAGTTGATAAAATTCGAATTTAAGACATCTAAATTTACGATTCGATTTTATTACCATTCAAATAATTTCAGATTGTGACATATTATCAATTTCAATGCGAGGGTATATTCGAAATTAGAGTCTTTTTGACATTTCGATGCACGTGGGCAAATTGTATTCACATGTGAGGTAGGTTTAGACAAGTTGCCAGTCAAACAAGTACAATGGCCAAAATGAGACGACGCCTTTTTCATGGATTCCACCGCCATATACATATTCCACTTGCTAGTGACAAGTGATGATGACACCTTATTGGAGCTATTCAACGTAAAATTGTGTTGTCACAAGTTAATTTTATGATCTCATATTAAACAATTAGTAATAATTGGTGTCTGAAATTACTTTGTAATATCAAAAATTAAATATTTATTATGTAATAATTATATTTTTAAGAACAAGTTATTTTTTAATTAAATAATTTAAAATTAAAACGAAAGAGAGAGAAAATAATAAAGATGTATGTATAGATTAGTGAATTTATTTGGTGTTGGGATCCGTTTAGAAAATATGTTATTTTTGAGCGGAACAAATTTTTAAGATAATTTTTGTATCATTTGATCGAAATATATGAAAATTTGATTAATCTTAACTGCTGTTATGCTTTGATAAGTTGAGAATTCAACTTCTAAGCTATAACAATAGATAACTTCTCAACTTTAAATTTTAATTTGAGTTATTTTAAATTATTAATAGGGGAAATTTTAATCACACCCCTTTTAATTTACTATATTTTTAAGGACACCCCCACCTACTATCAAAAACATTACTGACATTTCTTTTAGTTTATATTTAAATATCACTGACACTCCCTGTCATTAAACTATCATTTCTAACAAATAAAAATTCATCTAAAATACCAAAAATATCCCTATATAAACCTCAACTCAAACAATCTTTTTACATAAAATTCAAATCGATTAAAATTTATTTTTTTATATATTAAAATTCAAGTTGTTTAAAATTTATTTTTTTACATATTAAAATTCAAGTTGATTAAAATTTATTTTTCTACAAATTAAAATTTGAGTCGATTAAGATTTGATTCAAACTGATTAAATTTTAATTTTTTTACGTAGTAAAATTCTAGCTGATTTGAGCCTACCTGAGTTGTTAGCATCGATTAAAATTAGCTTTGACTCGATTAAAATTTAAATTTTTTTACTTATTAAAATTCGATTCAAGTTGATTAAAATTTATTTTTTACGTATTAAAATTTGAGTTAATTAAAAAATATATTTTTTTATGTATCACAATTCGGGCCTATTAAAATTTAAGGGTGAGTTGATAAAAATTTAATTTGAGCTGATTTTTAATCGGCTCAAATAGAATTTTAATCAACTCAAAGTTTAATACATAAAAAAATATAATTTTTAATCAACTCGAATATTAATATGTAAAAAATAAATTTTAATTAATTTGAATCAAATTTTATTCAGTCCAAATTTTAATACATTAAAAAAATTAGAAAACAAAGATGATCTCATTGAATATATGTCTATCTAGAGAGAGTGTAAATAAAGTTTTTCCTCTAATATATTATGAGCAATTTAGTAAAATTGTATTATAATTAACACCTTTAATCAGATAAGGGGTGCCAGTGAAAATTCAAAAAATAAAAAAGTGTCTTTGAAGATATAATAAACTAGAAGGGGTATAATTAAAACTTTCGCTTATTAACAATGTAATCAAATGAACAATTCGTAAAACTTTTCACGTTGTACATTGTGATTAGTTTAAAATAAGAGGCACAGCTTTTCAATGTTATACATTGTCATTCATGGAAACAATAAAATAGGAAGACATTACGTGCAACCTAAGCAAATGAAAATTTAAAAATAAAAAAAATTTGTGCCATACTAAAAGTTACAATTTTTAATGACTTTTTTGTACCTTAACACAAAAAGTCAAAGGTGACTTATTCCTAATTGATTGAAGTCCATTATCTATGGTAAAACTTTCTCAACCAATGTAACTTTTTTTTACGAGTTATAATTTGATTCTTAAAAATTATACTTTGATTTTTGATAAATTACACACACATCCTTTGACATTTGAGTAAATGACACGAAAATTCCTTGACATTTTTAAAATTACACAAAGACCCCTTGTTGGCGTCAATAAATGACCGGCGTTAACATAAGTGATAAATGACTATTTTAACCCTTGAATTTAATTTAAAATAACAACACAATAAATAAAATATATTACAAAAAATAAAATTAAACAAGTCAAAAAAATATCTCTCTCCTACTCTAGGATCTCAATCATCTCTTACCTTACTGACCGTTGCCACCACCACCGCTCCTCCTCTTTTCCTCTTCTCTCTCTTTCTCTCTACCACTTGCAACTCTTCTTCCTCCTCTCTCCTTCTCAAATCCCCCAGGCCCTGCCCCTTCCCTGCAACAAACCCCATCGCACTCAACCCTAATTGCCACCACCACCACCACCACTCCCAACCCCTTATTTCTTTCTCCCTCTCAAAACCCCCCGCCCCAATGAACCCCACTGCACCCCAACTCTCCCAACCGCCCAATTGCAATTATCTTGGTTAATGGTAATTTTTGATTAATTTAATCAAAATGTAATGGTTTAATGTTGTTAAAATAATAAATTATTGATAATTAGTGGACAAGATTATCTTAGAAAATGTTGGGCATGTTATAGAGGGGTAATTTTGGAATTAGATAAAATTTATTAACTGACATCACTATTTTCTATTAGTCAGACTAACGACGGGAAGACAGAAGGGGTGCTCGTGTCATGATTTTTAAATCTCAGGAGGTCATCGTGCAATTTTAGAAATGTCAGGGGATCTCTGTGTCATTTAATCAAATATCATGGATCGTGAGTGTAATTTACCCTTAAATTTTTAAAAGATGGGAAGATGGTCCACAGAGCATGCATTCCAAGCACTTTAAGAGAAAGTCTACGAAACATCAATATTGGCCATGGCAGATGTTCAGAAGCCGTTTGAGATTAAGACGGACGTTTCTGCTCATGCTTTGAGAGTCATTTTATGACAAGACAGCCAAGTGGCCGCATATACCGCAGTGAGATGTTCAATACAAATCTCTTAAACTGCCCCCACATTATAATTTTCATGTCCGATTGAAATGTTTTAGGATCGATGAAAGATCGTGATAAGTTATAATTTAAACCTAAAAAAATTATAATTTGACCATAAAAAAATATAAAATTATAATTTTTGATTCCATACTACCATAATTACCGTAATCTTTCCCCTATAAAAAATCTTGAAAAGTCGGCAAATTTTTTTTTCTAAGTGGTGCATGAGTCATGAGTGCATCACAACAGTGATATATGAAAGAGAGAATTAAAATTAAATCATTGATTCATCAGCAACTCCAAATGTCATTGGGCTAGGAATCTATCTAATAATACATGCAGGAAGTTAAAATTTTAATTTATAAAAATATTCCTTAATCCAACCGTACAAAATTCATCCTAATTTTTTTTTCACTACAAAATTTCATATTTTCACTAAAAAAATTGGATTTAGATAGATTTGAAGCAATTTTTTTTTTAAAAAAGATTTAGATAACTAATCTAAGCAGGAATTTTATATCTGACTAAATAAAAGTGGATTAAAACCCAATCCATTGTCACGCTTAGTAGCAAATGGTTGGGTTTGCGGAGCCCATGAGGGTTTAGGGTTGGGGTTTCAATGGCTCTTGAATGGGCTCCAAGTGTGGAATTTGTGAAAAAACCCATTAACAAAAAGGCCCGAAAACCCAAGCATCTAATCTAAATGACATGTTTTATATGAAAAAACATCCTTAAAAATGAATTTCACAAATATATATATATATAATAAAACAAATAGTAACTTAAATTTTTATCCCTTACATATTTTTTTCCCTAAAAAAATCAAATCATTCATTTCTATCACATATTCAATCATTTAATATTTGATTAATTTTTTATTTAACATTATTTTTATTTCAAACATTATCCATATAAGACAATATAAACATATTAAAAAAATTTAATATAATGGGACCGATTTTTTGGACGCCCAAATGTTATATTCTATTGTGCCTTCAGGTATGAGATATGACTAGTTTATCTAATAAAACACCTAGCATTTTAAATTTTTATTCATTACATATTTTTCTACTCATTTTTATGACTAGTTAAATTATTTAATTTTTAATTAATTATGGCATTGTTCATGTACCATAATTTACACGTACTGATTATGAGAAAATGTTGTTAACTTTTTTTGTAAAATAATGAGTTAATTTCAAATTATGTAATTAAAGGAGGAAAGGAAAAAAATTACAATTTAATATAGCAACATCAAATTTTTTGAATATTAAATTTTATGTTGCATCGTACTTTTTAGTACGGGTTATGACTAATTATTATACAAAATATCGGCTCTATTTGGCGTGACATTTAAATAGGCTTTTCAAAACTAAAAACCTATTTAAAAAACTTTCTAAATATTAGCAGGTTTGGTGGGTGGGTTTAACGTGGAAGTAAACATTGAATATAATAGTAATACTATATCTTCATTAATAATATTAATAATATGTTTTATGTATATCACCATTGCAATAAATATTTTATCCGGGGGCGGATGGTGGCGAGGCGATTCTTCAACGTGCACCAGTGCGTGAGCTCTGTAAGTGAAGAGAATAGTAGAAAATATGCCCGACTCCGTTTGTTCTATTCAAAAACTACTAGGGCATTCTTTGCAAATCCTATATACTATGGGTGTGTCAGTGTAATATTTCCCTGCAAAAAAAAAAAAAAATTCTAAAACGCTAACCAATACCAACCAATACATTCTCTCGTACTTCTTCCACCCACCCGTTTTATTCATGTCTTCTCCTCCCGGCTGCTGGTGCTAATTAGAAGGTAATTTTATCAGAAGTCTGAATTTTTTGCTTTTTTGTTTTGCTTCATTGGAGTGGCTTTTTTCCAGGTTTAGGGTTAAAGATTTTGTTTGGTAGCGTTACAGTGGTTATGATAATGGAAGCAGCGACTGCTCTCGGAGTATGTGGTGCACAACCAAATTCGATTGTTCGGTTGCCTATTCCGACTTCGAATGGTTCCACTTTCGTCCGCTTCGGTGTCAAATCTCGAGTCTTAACTGTTCGAATTAAGGTATTCAATGTTGGATTAGTAGAATTATTGTTCTTCGTGTTCATTGAAATTCAGTATGGGTCCTTTTGTTTGCTTGCCAAGAAATTGACGAAATAGAAAGGTAATATGTAAAATATATAAATTGAGTGCTGCTACATATGCTGTTGTTTGTGAAAAAAGGATTGGAGTATGCGTAGTACTTGTAGCTCTATATGCTGCGTTTGGGAATTGGGAGTGTGGAATTTATGTATTAGAATGGATTTGAGCAAAATTGTTTGGTATTTCAAGTAAATGTGGATTCCAATTCCAATTATATGGCATGAATTCCATACTCCCAAATGCAGCATTACTTTTCAATTCGTGTATCCATAAGTCAGTTCTTGGGTATTGTTGATAACTTATCGTCTCTGATAAGTATTTTGGAGATGTAGTAGTAAGCACTTCTAGGGCCCTTCCCGGCTACTGAATCATTTCAGTGCTTCGGATACTACAGACCCGCTGCCATCCATTGCAGCAGAGCCGTTTCGTGCGTGGCACATTAAAGGCGGAGCTGCGGAGGTATCCAACACGAACACAGTGCTTTGCTTAGAAGTGTTCAAGTACTTGTAGGGAGAGATAAGAACTTAACACGTTGGAGAGACAGGGTTGAGGACTTGATTATTGAGTCGACCTATCGAGACGCGGATACAAGAAAAATGGGAGTTCATTTTCTTGAGAGACTTTTAGGAAAAGTGCTAAAGGACGAGCATAAAGATATTAGGAGTATGCCACCTACACCAAAAACTCCAACAAAATGTGAACAACAAACTTCCAGCAACTTACAATTTTGAATCTTATCAAAAATTAAGACTCAAATTAACCTTAGGTACAATTACACAAGGTCTTGGGCTTTAGGGTGCTCCATATAAAGTCCAAACTGTCCTTTGTTCCTCAAATGTTTCTCGCATCACTTAGTGAAGTAGTGTTCTTTTTTTATTTTTATTTTTATGGTACTAGAACGAAAAAATGATGTTAAGAGAATAAAATTCACAATCAAGGCTAATCAGAACATTCATTGCATATAAGCCTTATAAAGTTATAACACCTCAATTCCACCTAGTTTGTACCTTGCTTGGCTTAACCTGCAGTCTAATGTCCTTATATTTTGAAGGGTAACATTTATTTTGTTCGTTTTCTTGATTTCTCATATTATTTTATTCTTACATCCTTTTCTTTGTCTTACTAAATTTTATTTTTCCTTTTTGTAGAATGCAAGTAAACAATATATGCCTGAGCTAAACGCTCAGTTGGTTCGAGGGACTTTGTCGGAACAATATAACCGCATCTTTTGCTCTCATTACCAGCACAGAAAATGGATTGATATCAGTAGATGTAGAACAGGAGTCTTGGTTGACAAATCTACATTTCATTTTTCGAAGCATAAACCTGACGATGTCATTGTGAGTTAGCTAATCCCAGTTCATGACATTGGTTATGGAATCTGTCAAGAGCTGTTTCTGACATTTACATCTTATCCTGGATCTCCTTTCTTTCCAAGAATTTTAACATAGTCACATGTCATCTATGAGAAAGCTCATTTTATCTAAATGTTGATTTAGTTTCTTTTTTTAAGTCTATTAATTTTGAGAGTGAATTTGAAAGCACAACAGTCACATTAGCTTTTGTTGCTGCTGCTGTTGTAATAAATGTTTTTGTCTGTCATCCTTTCGTATGGGTGCCATCCTTTCATAAAGCTGTTTTGTTAACTTTCTCATGTGGTGTGCCTATTTTAATCGGCACTACAGTGATTAACGAAAACAAAACAATCTAGCTGGATGAGGGGGTAAGACTCTGTATAACTGACCTTCTCTAGACTCCACAGGGGCAAAACTCGTGTATATAGGCTGCCCTCTTTTTATTGAGAAAGTCCAAAAAGGGGTTCATCTTATGACGACTTACATAGCTGTTTTCACCCCCTAGAGGAGGTGAACTTGGGCAATCTGACCCCTGTACTGTTGCCCTCAAAGTATATTCTATATTTCCTGCCTTGTATTTCTTGTTGCTGTAAGATGTGTTGTGTTCATTTCTAGAAGACTTCTCTATACATATGTTTTTTTTTTATAATAAATAATAAAGTGGTAACTTCTTTGTTAGTTGCATAGTAGGACCTATGCTATATGACTGATTTTGTTGAATACACTCTGATAATGGGATACTCTTTCATTTGCCATTTGTGAAAATGCTCATCTGGGCAATCTTCATATTGTTCTACTTCGAATTTTTGAGAGTGCTTGTATGATAAATAAAAATAGATTCCATTTTCCCCTGCTTCTAGAATGATATTTATCTCATTCATTATAGCCCTTGGTGTTTTAGGTGAAGCAAGCTCATGTGTTACGTGCAACTGTGGGTCCGGATGAGCCACATGCAGCAAGTACAACCTGGCCAGATGGTGTTTTAGAGAAGCAGGGTTTGGATTTATTAGATTTTCAAATAAAAAGAACAGAGTTAGAGGGGTTTCTAAGTTCCGAACTTCCCTCTCACCCGCAGTTGTATAGAGGGCAGTTACAAAATGGACTCCGATACCTCATTCTACCCAATAAAGTGCCACCAAACAGGTATCATACTTCAGTGGCAGCTGACATTTAAAGTCAATTACTCATTTATATAAATATATTCATATAAACAGGGATTGTAATGCCATGTAATAATGAGGTGCTAGACAAATGGTAGGTTCAATTTCTAAAGACCATATAATGATGAGGCGCTGGACACATGGTAGGTTCAATGTCAAGAAACAAATGTATAACTATTCATTGATATCATCTTGGCTCCGTTTCCCTACATATCCCCCCTTTCCCAAATGAACTTTTCCCCAATTAGGCATGATTTGAGCCGAAAACACACCTAAACCACCCCATCCCATAGCTTTACCCCTCAAGCCAAGTTCCGGGGTCATTTGAAGTTCTTTCCCCTGGTCACTTGATTGCTGAAGATGGAAGCATTAATCATTATTTGTGTGCTTACCGACCTGGAATACGTTTTGAGATCCATCTATAATTCAGGAGGATATAATTCATGTTACGATAATCTCCACTATGATGATGTTTACTTTTCATTATTTCTTCCCTCCCTTTTGAATCAGAAGTAAAGCTCCAATCTTGACTGCATTGGCGTTCAATCTCTTCACACATTGGCAATCCACTTTTACTAGGGAAAGAAGATTGTCAATATCTCTCAACGATTCCTGGTTGGCTTGCTTTACGCACGAGTTTATGAAGGTTATTAAGGACAGTTGAGGAGAGGATCTACGTATATGTTGTGGAGTGGAATAAAAGACTGTCTTTTCCCCTATAATGAAGGGAGTGAAATTTCCAAATCTTTGATAATGGAGGCCCAAACATAAGTAATAAAAATTCCATCCTTAAAAGTTTTCAAAGTAACATTACCATCACAAAATGTTTCCTTGTTCCTTTATATCACCATGTGGTATGTAGTGGTCGCGAACAAGGTTTTCAACTCTCGTCGTTCTCATGCGCCCCCGAACCCAAAACTTAGGAAATATGAAGCACTTTGGCATAGAATATTGTTGAAAGGCACTTGATTAGTACTAGCTATTTTAAAGATAAAAAGATGACCGTTTGTGAATAACCATTATTTGCTGAGTAATAGGAAGCTAAAACTGGTGGCTTTTATTTCCTATACAAGAGACATATGAGGGGATGGTCCCTTTGCTGAGGCCTAGGAAGTACAGATGCCTTTGCCGGACTTGTTTTTCAGTGTTGGACACATGTAAGATACATACATGCTATGCTCCAGGCACACACAAACACTTGAAAAGTCTGTAGAATTCTTTTTGAATTTGGCACACGTTGAGACTCGTCGCAGAAATATTAGGGCGTGCTGGCAACATTGGAGGATACATTTAGGACACCATATATTTTTATTTTTGAGAAATGAGGGTCAAGTGTGAAATATAGAAAACTACAGAGTTAAATAAAAACTAGAGTTAAAACTAAGGAGAATAAGAAGATAAAGAGGATGAAAATGAATAAACAATAAGAAAAGCAAAGGAAAGGGAAGAAAAATAGAAATGTTCTCTCTCATGACCATGATCTTCAACAACATTGGTTGTCAGCTAGTGGCTCCCTGTGAATATTGACGAATATCGGTTATCCTACTCCATTCTGTTAAAGTTATTTTTTTCCCGATTTTAATTTCATAACTTTGTTGTGTTGATTTTACAAAATGTCAACTGGTGTCATGTTGTTGCCGTATCCTATCCGTTCTTCTTAGGTAGAGGACCTAGAGGGAGACTGGAGTAAATTATTTAAAAAAATATGTACAAGCAATACAGTGGATTAAAGTTGTCAAATCTAACATGGACGAACGGTGACATGCATGGTGGATTTGAGAAGCATAGCAAGATTTTATGTCTATATACTTGCTATATATATATATATTCATGCAGCTTGTGTATATATATAGATCTTTCGCTCTTAAGCCTCACACCCAATTCCTTGTCAATCTTTTCTCTTTCTATCTCTCATATAGGCATATTTTTCGAAGTTTAGGTTTGAAGCGCACATGGAAGTTCATGTGGGATCAATCGATGAGGAAGAAGATGAGCAAGGAATTTCACATATGATTGAACATGTTGCATTTCTTGGAAGTAAGAAGCGTGAGAAGCTCCTTGGGACAGGGGCAAGATCAAATGCTTACACAGATTTCCATCATACTGTATTTCACATCCATTCACCGACTAGCGCAAAGGTTTGTTATATATATATATATATATATATATGTATTTCACATTGATGTATTTCTTTCATATTCTAAGTTCTGTTGCATAGACGATCTTATCTTTTTTTCTCTTTTACACTCTTCGTTGAAGTTGGCATACATCAAGCCAAATTCAAGTTAAAGTAAGGGCCTGTCAAAATTGACATTAGAGCTACTTTTTCCTGTGTTGGTTTGTGAACAATATGCAAAAAATGGGCAATTTGATTCTGTTTTTATTACATATATCTAATGGAGTAAGAGAAAAACCTGAAGTTAGACGAAATAATTTAATAATTCGGCTTGTTTACCTGTGAGTACTGTTTGTTTGTTATCAAGGGCTTATAAAAACATGATGCACATGGCATGAAGACATTTTATTGGGGCATTGAAATTAACATATGGTAGATATCACATTCTTTTTTTTTCCCGGAATAATTAGCCTTATTGTTATGGTATACATACACTGACCTGTCGAAATTCTCTTTTCTAGGACTCTGATGGTGATTTGCTTCCAATGGTTTTGGATGCTTTGAATGAGGTATGTTTTGCGACTCATTGGATTTGATGTATATTATAAACTACTGTGATGTGTAGTAGATTTCCTTTTTATCTAAATATACCTTAGTACTTGAAATATTGTTGTCTTATCTATGCAGTGGAATTTGATAAACCTTATAAATCCTGTCTTTGTCATGCAACAGATAGCTTTTCACCCAAAATTCCTTGCTTCTCGGGTTGAGAAAGAGAGAAGGGCCATATTATCAGAACTACAAATGATGAATACCATGGAGTACCGTGTTGATTGCCAGGTATTTTCAGCAAGAGATGGTCAAAGACTCCTTTACTGGTTATGCTTTCTGATCTTTTTGGCCAGTATAAAAATTTTCTCCCTTTTGTTTTTGTGGACCTTAGCTGTTACAACATCTGCATTCTGAGAACAAGCTGAGTAAAAGATTCCCAATTGGCTTAGAAGAGCAGATTAAAAAGTGGGATGCCGATAAAATCAGGAAATTCCACGAGCGTTGGTACTTTCCAGCAAATGCCACCTTATATATAGTGGGGGATATTGATAACATTTCTAAAGCTGTATACCATATTGAAGTATGTCAAGATCCTACTTTCTTTTTAATTCATGGTATTTGAATGGATTTGTAAATTGGAACCACTGTTTTGTGATTGAAAGAATTACTTCTGCCCTTAATTTTTATTGTGTTTATCATGCAGGCTGTCTTTGGGCAGGTTGGCATGGAAAATGGGACAGCTGAAGCACCTACACCGTCTGCATTTGGTGCTATGACCAGTTTCCTAGTTCCTAAAATCACATTAGGGTTGGCTGGTAGTTTATCTCATGACAAGTCATCCGTTTCCATGGAACAATCCAGGATTTTTAAGAAAGAAAGACATGCTGTTCGTCCTCCTGTCACGCATAATTGGTCACTTCCTGGGAGCAATGGGGATGCAAAGTCTCCACAGATATTTCAGCATGAGTTGCTTCAGAATTTCTCAATTAATTTGTTCTGCAAGGTGTGAAGAGAACTTGATTCTTCCTTTTATTTTTTTAATTCAAATAATTTTGAGTTTTGTTATATGAATTTGTTATATATATTTTTTTGTTTTTGCAAGGATATTTGCTTTATAATATTTTCCATGTTCATCTTACAATTTCTTTTAAGAATCATTTTGATTACTTTTGGTAGCCTATTGAACAAAATGCTTAATTGGTTAAGGTTGAAGTGACAGAGAATATATTGAAATGTGAAATATTAACGAAATTGCACTCGTATTGTTTGGAAGTCTAGTAGTTGCATAAGAAAATTATTCACAAGTATAGTAATACACTGTGTTGACTTGTTAATTATTGTTCATAACTCAACTGAACAAAACGTTGTAATAGCATTTTTGGGGTCGGTTACACTGATCGTGTTTCGTCATTGTGCTTTATTGAGTTAATTATCTTTCATAACCTACCATAATATCCCATTTGCTATGAAGAAATTGGGATATCAGCATATCACCATGCTCAGGCATACTAAATGCAAGAGATACCAGGCAGTGGCCTCTAATCAATACGAGGAATCTATGACAAGTTAAATATTCGGAGATCACCATGTACTCTAGTGGCTTAAAAAATTGAATCCAATAGCTTATAGTGCTCCTTTAGTTACTTATTATGTTTTTCAACATGGGATGTCAAAAAGATTTAAAGGGCCATTAGGAAAAGTGTCAGGGTAGCAATTGTCAAGTTGTAGGCTGAGTTTGAATATGAGCGTCGCCTCGGTGCAAATAATGCCCATTCTCTTCCCAGTCCACTCTTGGCACTCTCGATTAACAGGTACCTAAATTGGTAATGACCTAATAGAATATGAAAAAGGTTTGAGAAAAAACGTGTTAAGGTCTTTTGAAAACCTTTTTGAATAAATTTCCTCAAGACAAACCATTGTTTGAAAACTATTTACATTTTGAAAACTCAGCTTCATTGAACCTTAAACTGCCTTTTTTGGAATGACTCTATGTAGGTTGTCTTGTGCATAAATTTGCTTCATTTTGTGGTCCTATTTCCTTGTCCTTTTGATTTTGAAGCTCTAGCTCACAGCTCATTTCCATACTTATTTTGAATGCAAATGCAGAGGCATTTGCTTTGGGGGCTGACTAGAATGTTCTACTGGTATTGTACAACAAATTTTATTATACAAATAAGCAGGCATGCAAGTTAAATGTTGCCCTTGATAACTCCATCATTTCCTCGTTGGGGGTTGCGGTTTCCCTTTCTGTCCGATTGACAATAAAATCGAGAGAGAAAGAAGGAAAGATATATTTTGTGGGATTCCACTATTGTCTATTATTTATGACAGATGTACCAGTGCACACCCTCCCTTTTCTCTCCCAATACCTTTTTTCAGTACTGCTATTTTGGATTTAATTATCTAGTAGATTGAGCATCCCAGTTCTCTCTCTCTTCACACATGGCACAGCTGTTAAAGCAAGTCTCGCACTATCCTAGAATCCAATCAGAAATTTGTCTCTCCTCATCAGATGAAACCTAATTTTTCATTTCAAGTCGAATATTCTCCCCTTTTCATTTTTGATAAAATAGTGAAATCTGATATCTTTTTTTGTTCTTAATAGTCTTCTTTTCAAGACAAATTTATTGTACCAATATGATGAATTCCTAATTTTTTTTTGGGAGTTTGGAGGTTTGCTGTTTTGGTCCTGTAGTAGTAGGCAGGAGTTTATTCTTTTTATATTTGTCTCTACTGATTCACACCTTATACTCTTGTTTCGATCTGTAGTTTATATCATTTCTGTTGCAGATTCTTGTGGTTCTGAATTGTGCTTGCGGTTGCTGTTGTGGTCCTATAGAAGTAGTGGCAGAATTAATTCTTCTATTTGTTTCTGCTGATACACAATATATAAATTGTTTTCAAGCTGTATTTTATATGATTTCTGTTGCAGATTCCTGTCAACAAAGTCCAAACCTATGGCGATTTGCGGGATGTTCTGATGAAGAGGATATTTCTTTCTGCTTTGCATTTCCGGATTAATACAAGATACAAGGTGCAATGGCTTGAATTGATGAATTTTACCCTTTTCAGGGAACAAAGTTAACTTCGAGTCCATATGCTATTGTCAATGGTTGGTTACTTTGCAGTTTAGTGGCTCTTGGACAAACCCTATCAGTTACACGTGTTTGCTTCTGTTTTGTGATTGTGATTTTCATAATGTATTTAGGTGGTGATTTAAACAAGGATTGATTGATCACCCACTCTAAGAAAAGGTTTGCCACTCTAAGAAAAGGTTTGCCAAGCATATAGAAGTTGGAGTAGATAGAGTTATTGAGACCGTGACTAATTATAAACCTCAACTGTTACTCTTTTTGATGGCCTTTCTGGCTTTATTTTAAGTCTATAATGATGATAAATACCAATCTTAAAATTAGTAGTTTATAGCAGCGTTATGTGATTTTTTTTAATTATATGTTGATTCGGATTTTGTTAGTACTTGTACTCTCTTGAATCTGTAACTTTTATTTTGAACTAATTTGAGAATTTATCAGAGTTCAAATCCTCCATTCACCTCAGTTGAATTGGATCATAGTGATTCTGGAAGGGAAGGTTGCACTGTGACCACTCTTACAGTAACTGCTGAACCCAAGAACTGGCAAAGTGCAATTAAAGTAGCTGTTCACGAGGTTTGTACTTTCTTTTCTGCTCCTTATAGTGTCTTTGTCCCAACAAATGCTCATTTTTGAGACAGGTATTTGTCTTTAACATAATTAATAAAATCAAACCTTTTTCTTCGCTAACAAGAAATTGGGGAGCAAGTGTCTGCCACTGACACTTGTCTTACAGAGCAGTGCTTGTCTTGTGGCCCATTCTTGGGAAAAAAAGTATATATTCTGAAATTATCTATGGAATGGCAGCCACAATGAGATGTCTTCTCTGCATTTGTTCTTTGTCTATTGCTTGAGACATCTCATTTTGTACAGGTTCGAAGACTTAAAGAATTTGGTGTCACCAAAAGTGAATTAGCTCGTTATATGGATGCATTACTGAAAGATAGTGAACAGTTGGCGGCCATGATTGATAACATATCTTCAGTGGATAATTTGGATTTCATCATGGAAAGTGATGCACTTGGCCATACCGTAATGGATCAGAGACAAGGACACGAGAGTTTGGTTGCTGTTGCTGAAACAGTTTCTCTTGAAGAAGTAATCCTCATTCTTGGTGTTTCTACCCTAGAAGTGAAACTTTCTCTTCCTTTAAATGGTGTCTTCTGACTAATAATTTTCATATTGATGTTGACAAATATAGTTCTTGGTACCATCCTCCTCACAGCCATTTACAAGTAATGGCTGATTAAAAACAGCTATATACCGATGACAGTAAAGCGGTGTTGTCATACTTTGGGGCTTAATTTCACACTCATTGTATTTTGTGTCACATATAACTCTTTGGACCAGGCTGCCTTTTTTACTTTGCTTCTGACGTGCCTATTATATTCCTGATATCAAATTTGAAGTTGTTTTCATTAACGATTTTGTGGATGTTTCAAGCAGAGCAAAAGTTTGATTTTATTTTTAACAAACTCATTTTTTAAATATTTTTAAATACCTTGTGTTGCAGGTCAATTCTACTGGTTCCAAGGTGTTGGAATACATCTCTGATTTTGGAAAACCATCTGCACCCCTACCTGCAGCGATTGTTGCATGTGTTCCAAAGAAAGTCCATGTTGATGGACAGGATGAAACCGAGTTCGAGATTACGCCAGATGAGATTACGGCTGCTATTAAAGCCGGTTTGGAGGAACCCATAGAGGCTGAGGCAGAGGTTCCCTTTTTAAGAACTTTGCTTGCTTTCGGCTTTAAACTTTTATTGCTTGGTATATTCATGGAAATGCCATAGACATTCTTTATTTTCATTGACATCATGTATCTGTTTACATGTGCAGCTTGAGGTGCCAAAAGAATTGATATCCGCAATACAACTGCAGGAGTTAAGGTTGCAGCGGAGGCCATCCTTTATTCCTGTAAGCCAGGAAGTAAATGTGACCAAAGTCTATGACAAAGAAACAGGGATTATTCAGCGGCATCTTTCAAATGGAATTCCTGTAAATTACAAGGTATTTAGTGTTTTCGGTCTTATTAGATAAACGTAGTTATTCACACGTTTTGAGGTATTTCTATTCTTACAAATCCTTGTATCTTTATGTGACACTATATTTCAACTTCCATCATCAAAGAAAGGAAAAAGAGCCTTGTGGCTTCATAGAGATACTGTTATGGTGTTTGCAGCTGAACATCATACATTGTAAAGATATAAGACAAATGGGTAGTGGTCATACTCAATATATATCTTGACAGTGCTTTAAAGAGGACGTTATGTGTCTAGCTTAATGCATGTATGTTTTCTATTCCACAAGAATACTATTCACAAGCTACCATAATGTAACTAACATTTATTTTTCAAAGCACCATCACTGTTGGAAATGGATGTCTCTTTCAATGCTCTCTCCCTGTAATGGAAAGTGGAACACACATGATGATGGTTTTGACATTGGTCTTATATTGTTTACTTTTGTATTTATATTGTTCACATATTTGTACTTGTATGTTTTTTTTGTAAAAGATCTCAAGAAATGAGGCCCAGGGTGGTGTCATGAGGCTCATTGTTGGTGGTGGACGAGCAGCTGAAAATTCAGAGTCAAAGGGAGCCGTTGTTGTAGGTGTTCGGACTCTAAGTGAGGGTGGTCGAGTTGGCAACTTTTCTAGGGAACAGGTGATTGATTCAGTATTTTCTCTTGGAGTCGTCATTTGACACTTCTTTTGTCACAGTAAGGCAATTTCTTTTTTTTTGTGTGCAACTGTACAAGGTTCTGTTACCATAAATTCTTTCATTGTGTATTTATCTAAGTTAAGCTAGCCATAGTATCTTTTCTGCCAAGTATGTCTGGCTGAGATTCTAGCTAGAGCTACACATATGATTAAGAAATGTATGCTTGGTGTTGCTGCCTTTACTAGTGCATTAGCGCAATTGGTAAAACTATGACCATCTATGGTCTCTTATTTACGTGATATTATTTCTATTTATTTGAAAAAATAACACTCAGTTTAGTCCCCAGTAATGGGGGTCTCGGAGGGGACATTTTTACTAACTGTTGACAGCATTTTATATCCTTTAGGGGCATGTTTGGTTGGAGGATAGGGGTGGTATAAGGAGGTGGGATTAGGAAAATAGTACATGGGGCCCACCTTATACTTTGTTTGTTTGAAATTTTACCAACAGTACTATTTTCCGGGTCGTAATACCGACCTGGTATGAACAGTGACTTAAATGTCTTCTATATGGTATTAATGAATACCACCTACCAGGTGGTATTATCTTTTCTGTACAAATGAAAGGATGGTATAAGAGAATAAAATGACACAAATGCCCTCCTATGTGAAGAGTTCACATATAAAAAATTTATTTTGAATTTTTTTCTTATATTATGTTTAAGCGTACGATATCACCGGTTTTTTTTTTTAATTGTTTTTTAAAATTTTTTTTTGAATGGAATGAATGATGTTAAGGAATGGATGATATTAAGGGTAAAATAATATATTTGTTATATAAGATGTGATAGAATAGATGGTTGTTTGTGGGATCCACCATAGTATCTATTGAATAAACAAACATGGAATGGGATTGGAATAATTTTTATTACCTGTACTAATATCCATTGGTATTGGAAATGTAAGGAATACATTCCAATACCAGGCTTATAAAATACTTGAAACAAACATGCCCTAGTTGTAGTATCTGTTTTAATACTTTGATATGCTTCTCTAGGTAGAACTGTTCTGTGTGAAGCACCTTATAAATTGCTCATTGGAGTCCACAGAAGAATTTATTTGTATGGAGTTCCGTTTTACGTTAAGAGACAATGGGATGCGTGCTGCTTTCCAGTTACTTCATATGGTACTCGAGGTAAGCATAACATCAGTCATATTCTATTTACTAAATTTCTAAATAATTTGTCCTTTCTGTGTTGATGTGTATCTCTTTGACATGGTTGGCCACATATATTGCTAAAAAAATCGCCTATCAGTCTGATTCTAAGTTCTGTGCTATGTATATATTTATTTCATGAGTTTTTCCCCCCCCCTTTTTTTTTTGAAGGGGGGGGGGAGGGGAAGAGGTACATGTTGGTAATAACCAATGAATTCCCCATATTTATTAAAGTATATCATATGTTATCGCTATGTTGCATACAATAGTCGGGCGCCTCGGGCCGGGTCAATTATCAGGGGCCCCAACTCAACCATTCAAGTCCAACCTCATGTCTATAAAGTTTTAAACTCTGGGGGTTTTATTGGTATGTCTGGGTTGGATTTAATCTTTTCTGATGCCATCTACTTTTATCAGGAACAACATATTATTATGAGTATCTTAATGTTCAATGTTCCTTTAGTTGATATTTATTGCTAACTTGCAGCATAGTGTCTGGCTTGATGATGCATTTCACAGAGCAAGACAGCTGTATTTGTCATATTACCGATCTATTCCAAAAAGCTTAGAACGCTCAACTGCCCACAAGCTCATGCTAGGAATGCTGAATGGGGATGAGCGGTTTGTGGAGCCCACACCACATTCATTACAAAATTTAACATTGCAATGTGTAAAAGATGCAGTGATGAATCAGTTTGTCAGTGATAACATGGAGGTATGCAATTTTTTGATTTTCTATTTGTTTTATATCAATGGAACTGCTTGATGTTTCATGTCATCATTCCATGTAAATGGGATTTCTTCCCCTTCTAATTTTGAATTTGTTCATTAATCAGGTGAGTATTGTTGGGGACTTCTCAGAGGAGGATATTGAATCTTGTATTATTGACTACCTGGGAACAGTTACAGCAACAAGAGGTTTTGAGAGAGCCCAAAAATATAGCCCGATCATATTTCAACCATCTTCCTCGGATTTGCAGTCTCAACAAGTGAGAAGCAATGCTATTTTGATGAAGACGTGTGTAACTTAAGAGGGTTTAGATGTTTATATTGCATGTGATGTAATCTTTTTTTTTTTTGTACTAGTCTGATGCGTTATTGCTTCATGTGAGTTGGTTTTCCTTCAAAGCTTCTTTTCAACCATGCAAGGTTTCACTATTTATTTGGTATTTGACAGGTATTATTGAAGGACACTGATGAGAGAGCATGTGCATATATTGCTGGGCCTGCCCCAAACCGCTGGGGATTTACTGTCAAGGGGGAAGATCTTCTTGAGTCGATAAATAGTATCTCAGCTGATGATGGTGAGTTTTTGCATTACATATGGAATCATAAATAAGCTTTGTGTTGCTTTAAGGTATAAAAGAATAGGGTGAATGGGGTTAGGTGTGGCAGTGGTCCTGGTCTTTCTCTAGAATTTTATATAGGTTTCCAGAATCTGGGAAATAACATGAATGATAGAACACAATTCACATTGGTGCCCCCCTCTGGAAGAAAATACAAGCACCATTGCCCCCATGCAAAGGGTTGTATATTTTTGTCAAATTTCGTTTCTTTTAGTTTTGTTATTTTCAAATGATTTCAGTATCATTTGTCATGCCAAAGACAAAGATAGAAAGATACAATTCTAGATTTCTATTTTGATTCTTCACCTCACGTCAACTCAAAAAGCTTCGTCCCAACATTATTGGGGTCGGCTAGATGAAGCATGTTTTGCCCTTATGCTCTGTTAAGGTCTGTACTTTTTGTTAGATTACAGGTTATCATATCTTTTCTTCCTATTTCTCTTAATGTTAGTTTTGATATTCTTCTACCTTTTTTATTATTGTCAATAGTTAAAATATCACTATTTCTCACTAGCTCTGTAGTAGGCTGTCTGCAAAAATGTCTTAAACCAGCTAAGTCAATTCTTCATTAGTTTATCTCCTATATATGCTACCCTTACTTTTTCACGAATATTTTCATTTCTAATTCTATCTTTTCTATTTTTGGCACACATCCACCTTTACATTCTTACTTGCGTCACACTTATTTTGTAGATATGTTGTTTCTTAATAATGCCATAAAGTATAGCCGGTCATATGGCTGTTCTATAGAAATTTTCTTTTAGCCAGTCAGATGGTATTTTGATTTTTCACATATTGTTCAAATTTGTAGTGGTTTGAAATTTGGGTTCAACGCATATAAACTTAAATGGGAGTAGTAATAAACGGGGCAATTGAGAAAGAAGATTGGTGCCACATCTGTAATGCTAGAACTATAACTTAGGCAACAGAACTGGACTCATTTTTGGTCCAAAGCTATGTGATAGGGGAGTGATCAAGTGTAAAAGCTTCAGTTTGGTTTCCAATCTTCTTATTTCCATTCTTTGGGAGAGGAATTTTTTTTTTTAAGAGAAGGGGGGGGGGGGGGGGAGGAAGGTTTAGGTGGACTCCACACCCAAATTTCAACTTCAAAATCCTCCTCAGCGTGCTTTCTGTGTGAAAATTTATTCTAATAAATGTCTCCAAAATGTTTGGGGTTGAACTTATACTTGTGATTTGGGCTCCTATATATTTGTGGACATGATTAGACTAATGCAAATACTTTAAGACCCTAAATAATTGAAAGTTGATAGATTTCTATGCAGATGAACAATTTCAATCTGAGGAACAGCCAGTCAAGATGGACCATGTTGCAAAAGATCTGGGCGGAAGGTATCGCAGTCATCCGCTTTTCTTTGCCATCACAATGGGACTATTGGCTGAGATCATAAATTCACGGTAATTCTTTCTTCACCACTGCATTAGAGCAGTTACTCCTTTAAGGGAACTGTATTACCCATTATTTTATTAAGTAATGCATATAAATGTGATGGTTGGGTGCATACGTCCTTGATATGATCACAAATACTTGATGTTTTTTTTGTAAGTATTATAATAGATACACCTTCAAGGGAATAGCTATTGCCACCGGTTCTGCACTTTTGCAACACAAACTTGCTTTTTACATGTAGTGTTCTGAGTCTGCTAATATCTTCAAGCAAATCTCTATGTCCACGTATTATATGGTCATGCAAGTATACCGTTTTGAGGGTATTTACAAGGGGAAATTCAGGAAGCCCAAATACCTAGGGGTAGTATCATTCCGGGGGCGGCTCAACACTGTTATCAAAAAAGTTTGGGCTTTAGGCCCTATTTTTAAAGAAGGCCCCAAATTTTTAATTATCATAAATAGTCCATATAAAAAATTAAATTTATAAATATTTTAAGCCCTACAAAAAGACCTTATAAAAATACAAGTCCAAACAAAAAAAATAAATTTATGGCCTCACTTCAAGGAAGGCCCATAATTTCTAGTTGTACGGTAATAGTCCAAATAAAAAATTTAAATCCATGCTTAAACAAAATATTTCAACGTAAATAGATTGGGTCTATTAATTTAGCAGTAAAATTAAAAGGCCCTAAAATTTATTTTTTTAAATAAAGAAAAAAAAAACTAACGGTAAAACTAAAGATACTAAAAAATTTAGTTTTAACCCCCCAAAAAAGTCAAGTTTAAACTTACCATCATAATTTTTTAATTATTCTCTCTCTCTCTTACTATTAAGTTCAAATATAGTAACAAAAACTTGAATATAAAAGTTTAATTAATATTTTTGTATTTAAAAAAATAAAATAAAATTTATTATTAATATTAAAAATAAAAAAGGCCACCCCTGTATCATTCTCAACCCTAGCAACAACCTAAACTAAAACTAGAGAGCTTACGCTACCAGGGGTGGTGAGTCCACTTTCTCTCTCTTGCCTGACTGCTTCCACCGGTCTGGGGCGTCATTGCCATAGTCGGGGCAAATATTGCTATACGTTTTCTCACATTGCTTTAACCATAGGGCATGAGACTAGAGACCCAGATGAAAAAACAAGTGTTGATCCTAGGCCTTCTTCTGAGGCTCTGGTTAATCAGAATCTTTCTTTTCTGAATGAGGACGTTGTATTTATAGGGTTAATTCTGACATTATGTTTTATTAATTGCTCCTTCTAATTCCTGTCCTGAGTGTGATAGACTATTAAATTTTAGCTTTGCATTTGTGTTTTTTAATTATCAGGCATTGTCTCTGATGATTGGTATCTTAGATTACCTTTAACTCGAATGACTGATTCTATGAAATGTACATTTGCTTTTGTACAGGCTTTTCACTACGGTTAGGGATTCTCGGGGGTTGACATATGATGTATCGTTCGAATTAAACCTGTTTGATAGGTTGAACCTTGGGTGGTATGTGATCTCAGTAACATCAACTCCGGGCAAGGTGTGCTTTCCTAGATTCTCATGTAGTCGCAATTTATGTCATTTGGGTGCTGTCTCACCAGTTTTACATTGAATATACATCCAGGTGCATGAGGCTGTTGATGCTTGCAAGAATGTCCTTAGAGGCTTGCATGGAAACAAGATTGCTCCAAGAGAGTTGGACCGGGTTAGTTGCTTTTCAAAATCAGAGTACTCTTAGTCTGTTTACATGTTGGTTATGGAGTCAAAGATTGTGCAATTGTTGGAATCTGTCATCTACAGTAGGGGTTGCTGCAAAGAAAAGATTCAACACTCCTATTAAAATAATGACTCCCCTAACAGCTAGATGTTCCTGCTTTACTGAACCCCTATGAGGAAAATTTGCGTCGTGTATTGTCACACCTGATAAACATGCATTTGAAATTTGGCAAAAGAAGGGTTTTTTTTTGAAGAAGGGGGTGGGGGATTTGTTGATGCCACATGGATGCAAAAAGGCTGTTGTTTAGTTGGATTGTCATAATGATTTAAATTTGACTGACAGGCAAAACGGACCCTGCTGATGAGACACGAAGCTGAAACCAAGTCTAATGCTTACTGGCTTGGATTGTTGGCTCACTTGCAAGCGGCTTCTGTTCCAAGAAAGGTGAAATAGAGAAACATAAGAAACTCTATATCATGTCATTCAGTCTAAATTTTTTCAGTACAAAATCTATCATATATTTCTGTTTCTGCCAAAAGTTTTTCAACTTGAAATGTGTGTGGTCAATCTTTCTATTAATTTCACTTTAATCGATGTCCTTAAACATACTTTGTTTTTACTAGTTGATGCCCACGTGCGTTGCACGTGAACCATTGTAATTATAATTTGATAAAAAATAAAATTTATTGGTCAAATAAAAGTTACAAAAAGGGCTACAAAGAGTCAAAAGATCAAAGTATATCTAATAAATAGGAGCAAAAATGTTGATCTGCTATAACTCAAATTCGAATTGAACATAAAGAACAAAAATGAACTATTTTGCTCAACTCATCTCCTTCCTCTTTATAGGCATATCTTTATACTGCATTTCTCACAATTACTAGCGTGGATGACATGCAACCTTTTGTTAATATCTCATGCAATATATGAATTGAAATATATGTGGTGAAATATTCATAGAGGAAACATCGACCAATATTCCTTGACAACTTATGGTATAGTTTGATATAATTTGCCATTTGTAATTCTAAGGACCAAAAATATAAGGAAACGAAGTAATGGTTTGTTGAACTTCATGTTTTGGAAGCAATTGAACAATTCGTTTGCAAATTTTTGGATCTGGATTAATAATTGGGTATGCTTTATAAGTGACCTAGGGCATTACTTCATCTTGATTCTCATAAAACCTTTTGTATAGGAATATTTACTATGATTAATTGTGGTCTTAATAGTTTTTGACTTTCCAGGAAAAAAAATGTGGCAAATATACACTCAAATTAAGAATTCCTAAAACTATCAAACCACTACCACAAATTACTTTTTCTCTAGGTATTAACACTAAGCACATGATTGATGATTTCATTCAAATTATCCACGTCAATGTTCAAGCCAAAAGAAAACTGGAATAAGGTGGGGGGAAAATGTGCAATCATACAACAAGTTTTATAGTTTTAGTCCACCATCAACTAGTACCAATTTGGATTTTTGGATATCTGCTAGTTAACAAAAACTTCCAGAAACCCTTCATTCATACCACAACAAAACACTTATATTCTGACAACAAATACCAACCAATATCAAAACACTGAAAGAACGGTTAATTTGGAACCAAGATTATGTATACAAAAAGAATGGCCTATCCCTACTTCAATCTAATGAATTTATCTTGCCAATCTATTATGACATATCTGTTAGAGAAAGAAATTTGAAACTAAAACATAAAGTGGGCCACTGATATTCCTTAAATACCATTGAAAAAAAAGAGAACAAATTTCTGTGTGCACATACTTTCCTAAATTAATGAAATGAGCCAGGCATTTAGTCAATAATCATTTTTTTCTCAACCTCTTCTCCTACTTGAGCTGAAAACCAAATCATAAAATGAAAATTTCTCAACCTTTTATAGGAATTATTGGAAAATGGTAAACATCTCTCTCTCTCTCTCTAAATTGACTCGGCCGTTTGTTGGATTGGTATCTTTGCACTGAATTTTCTTCGTATTCTTCATCTTCGTTTATCCCCACAAAATCCTTACAATTGAGCAATCGATGGCGTGGCCAATTGCAATGAACTGACTGCAAGTTCGCTGAAAAGCTACTTCAATTTGGCTACAGAAGATCAAAAGGGGCATTAGGGCCAAAGAGTGGGGTTTGGCGGAAGATGCCATTTTGCAAGATGAAAATGCCCAGCTGGTATTGATCGAAGCCTCTTCAATGTCTATTCTTTCTTATAGCGGCTCTAGGTTGTAAGTAACAAATGAAGAGATGATACTTTGGGTTGAAACCACAAAAAAGCTACCATCATTCTTTTACACAAACATGAATCAGGGACTGTCAAACAAGAATTATGAGTAGAGATTGGGGGAACATTTTGGGTCAATATTGCCAATGCAAGGGTGCAATTTTATAGGTGAACTATGTTATTTTTAAAAGGAATCAAATCAAAAATGGTAACAAAAAACTAGTCATTTACTCTTAGAATCTGTAAAGTATAAAAGTAAATTAGCTAAGGTAATTGTAAGGCCTAAAATTAGTAGGGTAGTTGTAGGGTCTCACTTTTATTAGTTACAATAATTGTAGTTAAAAAAGAATAGTATGGATATTACTGGTTTTATTGAGGCTATTATAGTCAATCAAAAGTTTTTCACTTTTGTTGACATTTTAATATTTTATAGTAGTATAATAGATAGATATAGATATAGATACTTACATTATTTGTTATGCTTGCGATCAGGACATATCATGCATTAAAGATCTCACTATGCTATACGAAGCTGCCACTATCAGCGACATATACGTTGCATATGACCAGCTTAAGATTGATGAAAATTCCTTGTACTCTTGCATTGGAATTGCTGGGGCTCAGGCTGGAGAAGAAATTTCAGGTATGCACAGTGGTTTATAGAGGCTGTACTATGTGGTATTCCTTGTTTGCATGAAGAAATTTGTGGTATGCACATAGTAATTAAATATTAATTATTGTTTCCATGAAGATTGGCTCTAGTTAGGATATTTTCCTTATCTTAATAGTTAATACATGGGCACTTCTTTCGAGGTTATATTACCTAGATGTGTCTGATTAGTTTTTTTGATTCCCCAAATTTTTTTGTACCAAATTACTAATTATTAGGTATTCCAAAGCATCTTTCCTTTGCATGGACTAAAATTTTCCCTGCCAATAAATTAATCTATATTCTGCAGATCCTTTAGAAGGGGAAGAATCAGTTGACGGTCTTTATGGTGCACTTCCTGTGGGGCGTGGTTCATCCACTATGACACGACCGACAACATAACATAACCTTACTGCACAACATTCTCAGTCTTGTGCTGCAAAAATAGATCAAGCATTATGAGGTATGTATCTTGGGCATTTGCTGATGCCAAAGATAACTTTGTTTTCCTATTCTAATATTCCAATAGCAAATGAAGTTTGATTGACTTTTGAAGAAAGCCTATAAAAGAAAAACAACAAAGAGTGAAATACTAGTGTAAAGTAATAACTACCATTTCCTAATGATTGTTAGAATTAATTTCAACTAGGGTGCTTTATGCTCGTGTAGAACGTCCAATTGATTTAAGCAGGTAAGGTATTCATGTCATCAATTGACAGGTGGCTTTAGATTAAAATCTCTTGCTGTTCTTTTTTCTGAGGTGCTCTTGTTGAGGAGAGAGATTCCATACAGCTCAAAATGAAATTGTAAGGTTTTCATCGTGTTTTTAGCTTTTGTTAGGATGCGAGCAATAGACACAGTCTTGGACTTACGGGTTTGATCATTTTCACTCCAACAATTGAAATCCAATTTCAAAGAAAAGTAGGTGGACAGTTGGGAGGGAGAGAGGAGAGGGAGAGTGAGAGTGATGCCTCTATTCTTTTCCTAAAGTTGATAGATTTGACTCAATGAGACACTACATACTTGACCTAGATAATCATTAAGTATTCTATATTCTGACCATGTGAGCATGTTTCAGGTAGACACTTGCAAAGTCGCTGATGCAAAAATTGTTCCCAATGGCTTGCTGTGAAGGGCTCATGGCAACCTTGTTAAACTATAACAGAGCAAGGTCATTCGGAGTCAGTAAGAGCCCCCTTCCATTAACTATTGGTGTCCAAGGAGTTAATTTTCTTATGATAGGTTAGTACATGCAAGCTATATTATTCTTTTTAAGTCGATAGGTACGTGCAAAAATAATTTTTCCTTTCTTTATAACGTTATGCAGGTTTACTATTATTGGTTGAAAAGCCAAATTTGTTGTGTTGCATAGGTACATTAAGGCTAAAATTATTGGTATACCGACTACTGTATACATTTACCATCAGCATTTTATTTTCTTTTTATACATGTTTGTTTTGCTGATAGAAATGCCTATTTTTTGTATGATGTTTACCCATGGAGGTATGTTATTACCGAGATAATTGTAATTAATTGCTTTACACTAGTTAGTGCAGTTTGATTATTTTGTGTCATTCTTGATACATACATTTTTGAAAACTAGATTTCATTACTGACATACGTCTGATGATCTGGGTAAAAAAGGAATGAAAAAGCGTTTGGTTCTTTATTTCAGTTCAATAAAGAATGATCAATAATTGTCAGGTATTTTGCAAGGGAAGAGAGATATAGGTGCACTAACAATGACCATGTATTAAAGACACTCTACAATACTAAATCTATATCGAGCACTCATATTTTAAGTAATATTTTTTTACTCGTCTCTAAAAACACGATAAAACATAAAATTCAAACGTCCAAAAAATTGATGTTTTATATTAGTTTTTTTTAATGTGTATATTATTGTTTATGAATAATGTTTGAAATAAAAATTATGGTAAACTACAAATTAATCAAATATTAAATGATTGAACATGTGATAGAAATAAGTAATGCGATGTTTTTAAGAGAGAAAATATGTAGGAGATAAAAATTTCAATTGTTATGTGTTTTATTATATAGATTTATGTAATTTAAATTTAAAATAAAATGAGAAAAAAATAAGAGATAGGAGAGAGAGATATAGGTGTAGATTAGTAGAGTTTTTTGACATTAAGAAGTATGTTGATTAATTATCTGATATTGGGAGTCGTGCAAAAAAATATTTTTGAATGAGAAAATATTTTGACATGGATTTTGTATCATTAGATCAAATTAGATGAAAATAGATTGATTTTAGTCGGTGTTGTGCTTTTAAAAATTGGAAATTGAACTTATGAGTTGTAATATTAGATGAAAAGTCTAAGAGAGAGTTAGACAGTTAATTGTGGTTAAGAGAGTTTAATCTATTATATAAAATAAGACAGGTTTAAATAAGTTCATTCAACAATCTTAATTAGATTTATCCAATAATTATTAATATTTTTTTTCAAAATTATTGACATTATATCGTGGTCTTCATTCACGGGTTTAGCCCCAGTGCATAGCAAAAAGAGACAGAAAAGAAACGGATCACAAATATTTCATAGGTGGACGATATAATTAGATGCTTCTACAGATGTCCATGGTCTGGGCTAGGTGTGTGGCTGGGCCAAATGTTTTTTGGGCCAGGCCTCTGTTGGCTGCTCCAAGCCCGTGCTGTGATGAAGTTGGGTTTGGTGTTTGCCACAGCTCATAGCCGTTGTTGTTAGCGAGCTGGGCTGGAGACAACAGTATGGGCCACGACTACGAGGTGGGGCAGAAGGGTAAATTTTCGGGTTGGGGTTGATATGGACCAGATTTTGAGGGTCGGACCTTACCGCTACGACGCTACATACTTCGGAATACAACCGCTGACGTCTGTTGTTGTGCATCAAATGATGAATATGGCGGAATTAAATTTAAAAAAAATATGATAATTGATTCCTAAACTGTATAATTAATTTTAATTTAGTCTCTAAATTTTTAATTATTTTAATTTAATTCCTCAATTATTAATTTTATCTTAATCAAGTCTTTTCGTCCATTTTTACTATAGATCAAAATCGACATTCCTTATTGCTCTTAGAGAAGTAGAGGTGACAAGGAATCCCCAGAGAGAGCAAGAGCAAAATGTACGGAGCGAGTTAGCTGACAGCTATGTGCTGTGCGGCTCTCGCAAAGTGAATGAAGGGAAGTTTGAAGAGCTTTCTGTGCCAGTGACTTATATGTAGTGGTCGACCTTATAAAGCTCGCTAAGTTTCGCTTCCCTCCCCCTTCCCTTATTAAGTGAAAAGTTTTCACTTAATATTTGACATTCTATAAGCGATTTGTCAAGCCTACGAATACACGATCTAACGGTAAAAATAGATGAAAGAATTGAGACAAAATTAATAGTTGAGAGACTAAATTAAAACAATTGAAAGTTTAAGGATCAAATTAAAATTTATATAACAGATACCCTATATCTGAGACAAGATTCATAAACAAAACAATGTCGTGAATGCCACCATCCTGAGCTAATCTTTACATTCCATATATACAAACATCCATAAGAAGCATCAATTTATGTCTACACACAGTAAGAAGTTCAAAAGATTACACAAATATTTCCTACCTCTCCTTTCTTTTCCTTTTTTTCATGGTTGGGTAGAGGGAGATTTGAACCCTCGAAACACACGTCAGGGGCAGTCCATAGACCCCGAGTGATCTCCCTAGCGATAAGCAAGTGTAAAAAGAGTTAAAAGCAGCTAATGATATCCTCAAGACCTCACAAGCCAAAAAAAAAAAAAAGAAAATTTATTTCTAGTAGCGTTGGTGCAACCTTGGCCTTCCACCTCCTCTCCCTTCGCCTTCTTGAGACTGAATGTTAAAATAAACAGTATAAGATTCATCCCGCAAGCTCAGCAACGGAGCTAGAAGAAAATTTCTTGTTGCGCTTTTTGCCACGAAACTAATAGGATGATACTCACTAATTCCCCCATTCAGCATAAAACTGGCTGCCTGATTGAACCAAGCACCTGATGAACTATAAATGCAGCCTAGCTTAACGCTTGCACCTGAATAATGGTGCACACCACTGTGCACAAAGCAACCCTTTTGGCTTTCTGACTCCAACGAAACTGTTTTATCATTTCGGTCTAGTCCTGGGACCAAGCGAAAAACAGAATTCCTGTCATTAGTTGAATCTGCAACTACAAGTTTTTCATCTGTTTCTTGGTGCACCACAAACATGCCAGGAAAATCAAATGGCTCAAGCATGACTGATTGGCCGATAGCATCTTTTGGTGATGAGAAGTTTGAGAGAGTCGGGTCATTCAAGATGAGTCTGAAAGTGGCATGGATAGAGGAATCAGTGCCAGTATCAGGGAAGTCCTCCATTGTTATTGATTTGTTTGAGTTACTGAAAACCAATGTTGAATTTCTGGATACTTGGGATAGAGAGATCAGATGAGAATTGTAAACGGGGAGAATTGGAGCTATCCAGCTGCAAACAGACTTAGGTGACCCAGTTTTTATGTTCCAGTCACCACTAGTCAGACCAGCAAGAACGTAGGGGCCATAAAGAATTGCCTGGACAGAAGCATACTTTGGCCGGTCATCTGAAATTTCATTCCAGGAGTTTGTGTGTTAGCTCCTAATGCAAACGATTTTTCTGCTTTGGGAAATACTTGGCAACTGATATGTCCAAAATAATTGGTTTTTTAAGTAAGTCACTCTCCAGTAGAAGTACCTTTAATGGCCTCCATTCTTAGAGTAATGGGCAGCTCAAGCATGATTCTGTCACCAGGGAGCCATTTTCTACTGAGAGATAGGAAGTTACCTGCATCAAGAATAGAAAAGTTAAGAACCTAAACTTTTATTCCAGAGATGTAACAACATAAAGAAGATGGGATAAGTCTTTGTCAAGCGAAAAGGAAAGAAGTGAAACAAAAATTTACAATTTTTTCAGCAGATAGGACATGGAGAAATATGCAAGTTTGCACCTGGAGCTGGTACAGACAGATCCTGATCATTTAACAGAGCAGTAGCACCATTCAAATTTGTCCAAATTGGTATCCGTAAATTCAAAGTAGATCCAAAGCCAGTGCAATTCTTGCATAGACCAAATATCATAAGAAAATTAGTCAAACTCGTTGAGCCAGAAGAACGGGAAGAATTTGAAGAAGAAAAAGAGAATAACTTCTGCAGCTTGTAAGCTTAATTAGCTGGCAACAGTTACCTCCTCCATGGAAATTGTTAAAGTCACCCGAAGGCGAGGATCCCATGATACAGGACGATCAACTTTCTGATTTATCTTGATCTTCCCTGTTTTCCAGTCCAGCAAGCTTGATATATACTGAATGATATAGAGCCCTGGAACCTTGCCCTCCTCCTCAAAGTATATGGAATCTCCTAACTTGGAGAATGATTCGATTCCTGGACAGGCAGGATGAGAAAACAAAAACTACAGTTACAGCATGTAGAACATGAGGCTAAAGCAGTTGCCAGTCAAAGCAAGGATGTAACAAGGCAAATCATCCATTGCAGGCGTAGCAACGGAAATAGCAGGCTGATAGACATTGCTTCATCAGATCACCGGATGGAGAAGACCAAAATGTTTGAGAATTCCAAGATTTTTATAATGAAGTGACAGACTAAGTGACATACTTTGGGTGGACATTCATGTTCTGATTAAGTTACCAAAATGAGTTTGAAAACGTTAATTCAGGCACAGACCTGTCCCGTAACAGCACCAGAAAGAATCAAATTTTGTTCCCCACCCACTATTGCTTCGGGCCTTGGATTTTCCATGGCCTAGTGGCAGCATGTAGATCATCACCCCAGGTTCCCTTCCTCTTTGGATGCCCAGAATACCATTTGTCAAGGCACGCTCATAATAATCTGCATATCTAGTATCTTTGGTCCATCTAAAAAGGTGGCGTGAGACCTACAAAATCACATAGGCACATGTTTATCATGTGGAAATTATGGAGTGAAAGATCATGTTCTGTCTGACAGAAATCAACATGAAACCCCAAAGCAAGATAACATTCAACAGTTGACTTTGCTTTGTCTCGAGATCTCAAAACCACACATTAGATTTGAGAACTTCATCTTAAGAAAATTATATGGTGTTAAATCACTATCTACTCTGAAAGATTATGCTGTTAACGAGAGCACAACTTAAGTATTTATACTTCAATATATCCCCTCATCTGCAGGCTTTAATTTGGGTCTAGCACGTTAAAGTCTTTCAATAATCAGGGAGGTAGCAAGATTTGAACATAGGACCTTATGTTCTGATACCATGTTAAATCACAATCTACTCTAAAAGATTAAGTAGTTAAAGAGACCATAACTTAAATATTTATACTTCAACATATACATAGAACATCCCTACATACACTCTGAGAAACTAGTCCTATTTCAAACGTCTGATTCAAGCTATGAGAAGTAACCTACATACCTTCAGCATATTGTAAGTCGTACAGGATTCTTGATTCTCAGTTCCTAGAGTGCTTGCTAACCGCTTTGGTTCTGACCTGATTATAGGTAAACAATCTATGATCAGAATGAGCATTCAAATAAAGGAAAGAAATGAAATTGAAATATGTATCAGAGTTTTAAACAAATATACATGGATTAAAACTACTATTAAAATTGCAAGTATTAGTACCAGAATTCATCAACTGATGTACCTCCCGTTGCATAGCTGTGAGAAGAGTTCACAATATCCATGAAGAACATCCCTATTTCCTGGAACATCACTTTGCTGAGTTAATTGACACAGAACATGATCTCTTGATGAAACTCAAGCAGTTTACCTTATGCAGTGGATCACCAGTAACTTCATGCCTCATAAGAGCTCCAATAACGACTGGGATATGTGTATTGGCATGAAAGCCAGATATTCCATCAGCCTACAGGCAAATAGAAAGAACATTGATATAATATTGAGAAATAAGTACAAAGCAAATGATCTTATTTTTCTTTCAAAAATAGGACAAACTGGAAGTTAAATGATATGCTCGGAAGGGGCACAACATCGGTAAAATAGTTTTAAGAAATACAGGATAATGACTTCACAGCACCTTTAAATTAGACTGGTGCATTCCTTTTTCACACCAAACACTAGCCCCAAAACTTACATCCTTCAAAAGACCTACTCTGATATCTGTATACCAATGGAAATTGAGTCCAATTAAAATAAGTCTCAATCCATTAGTTAGATGCGTCTCAGTGTAGGCCTTCACTGATTCATTATCAAGTGAAATTTCTAAGTTCCCATTTCCACCTTTTCTTTTTGTCGTGTACTACTATGTACTTTGGAGCATATGAAGTCTTGAAATTCTGCTAAATAGCAATAGTAGGACATGCTCTGCTTTAAGAACATTACAACAAGTAACAATTTTAAAACATAGTTCAATGCTAATTCAATTATTCAACTGGCTAAATTCAACTCCAAAATGAAAAAAAGGGGCTAAATCCAATGATTGAACCTCCAATATTACTCCACGACAAACACCTACATTGAAGCAAAAATTGATAGAAAGCCACTCAGTACTACAACCTCCTGCGACGGGCGAGAGTTAGCAACATAACTGGGGTAAAACAACTCCATACATATGCATACTGAACTTCATTTCTCACAATAATGCAGACTTGTATTAAAAATCCTAGTCACTATGGTAAAAACATCTCCTGATTTACCAAATGCAGCAGAAGAGAACTCCACACATCAAAGATCATGTTTAGACAAGGGTAACAGTGCAGCATGGAACAAATTCTGTTCCTCTAGAAGATAGATATGTGCCTTACCGATTCATGTGTACTAGCGATAATCATTGAATCTAATAGACAAAAGCAGAGTAAACAAACAGGTAGGATGGTTATAGCCACCTTTACTGCAAGCAGTCCAAGAAAACAAGGTTTATCAAAAAGGTGAGCCAACGATAAATGTCTCTGATCTCCCTGCACAGTGCCCTCAGCATAAAGGAAAAGTCTAATGTCAGTATTTGGAAAAAAACTCATCAATATAAAACTACACAAGTGATACCCAACAAAGTAACCAAGATAATACAAAACTAAACCCAGTAATAGCTAATAACCTCAGGAAACAACATCATCACATGTTGCCGTCTTATCAAACCAAACAAACTTCATACTTGTTTGCATCTTGCACTCTGAAAACAATTGGAGATTCTTACGTTTTTAAACATTTCAAAATTGGACACTCTAATGTAAAGTACAGGACATTTGATTTCGGGGAGGTTATCTGAAGCATTAGCTGAATTTCATGGAAAAACATAGCCAATGAAAATTCATGAGAAATTATCAAGTGCCATTAGGAAGCCATGATAAATGATGCAAGCAAGTGAAATGGCATATTTGACTGAAGTCTCGAAATAGCTTATGAACTTTGTCATTCTGGCTGATTTTTTGATTGAAAAAAAAAAAAAGGACTAGTTTATAGAACATTATTGATTGACTAATGAGGAACCTGGAAGAAAATTTAAAGGACCATAAACACATCTTACGTACAGTTAGCCTGTATAACCTGTAAAGGACATCGTTCATGCCACCAGTTTCTTCATTTAGTGATTGCCAGTGTTGTTCAATACTGTATTTTGAAATCACATTTTGCACACGGGTGTAGAAGTACTCAACCATCCATGTCACCATTTTTAACGCTTGAGCATTTCCAGCCAATATATGTTGATCCAAAAGACCAGCCAATATCTGTCACAGCAGACAAGAACAAGGGTGGTTATTCAAAATGCCCACTTATAGAAACAAAGAAAATGCTAGAAGAAATATCTACCTTGTGAATGGTGTAGTATGGTGCCCAGACTTGTTTTAAAGCTTCCACACGATCAAAAAATTCAGATGGGAATGCAGATAGATAACCTGTACTCATTTTATGCTGACAGGCAGACAGAGCTGAAACCACTGCAGACATTTTCTCTTTGAGGCTATCACTGTGGGTGCTGGCCCACATTTGAGCTGATGCACTCATGTAATGCCCTTCAAGATGCCAAAAGCAAGTAACAAGTTACAGCCGATGCAATATAAAATCTCAAAAATCAGAAAGGAAGGTTGAAAGTAATGCCACTGCCAGAGAGTATAGTATCAAAAACTTGAACAATTGCAGAAATATGATGGAAGAATGGAGTAGTAGTCACACTCGGGCAGCGGAAGCTAAAATTTATAACACACTGATAAATTAAAAAGAATCCTATTCCTATCCAAAGCCACAAATAAAGCTCCAGCAGTGCAATAGGAGGGTTTTAGAAGAGCTCTCTCAAGTTAAACAAAACAGCAGATGGTGAGTGTATACTACCACTAAGCCCAATGAAATGGAAAATGAAATACAAATTATCTCCAACAGAGCTCAAATCAAAAATATATGCATAAATCACAGCAATAAATGTAGGTAACCAATACATATGAGGCAGAATACAAGAAAAATAATCACTGTATCCAAGAGCACCACTACTAGCTAGCCGCACCATCCTTTGCTTAACAGTTGGTGCAGGAGTAGTTGAATGCCCATTATGGGCACTACATGAAAACCATAATGTGATTCTGGGATTATCAAATGCTCTAAAGCCTTCTCAGGCATAGAGCAGACCCCCTTCAGAATTGGGCACATATATTCACAACCCTATAGATTTTGGAGAGAGATAACAAAATCAAATTGATCAACATTCATTTTTTGCATCATCTATGAAGCCAGAAATGAAATTAACATAGTGTAATCTAATAAAATTCCAACTACGAAAATTAAGGCAATGAATCAAATTAAGAATGAAAAACAAGACTCACCCACAAAATGACCACGAAGTTCACAATCTTGGGCCTCCCACCCTCCATATGGCTTCCCAGAAGTTGGCAAACCAGCAGTCTTCCTGAAACTCCAAACCAATCTATCCACATCCAACATCAACAAATACTCCAAATTCGTCTGCTGAGCCTGACCGTGAATCGAATTTGGATCCAATCTCACATCATGCAACGACACTTCCTTCAGAAACCCCCCATCCAATTCAAATTTATCCGAATTCTTAACCTTTGTGACCCTAATTGCCCATTCGGATTCATCTTCTTCCTTTAAAATCTTCCTGGGAATCAAATTGGACTGCACAGAAACCTCTAGTGGATCCGATTGGTACTGTGGGACCAATTTTTGCTTCTGAGATTCGTTGTTTGAAGCTAAGAGCTTGGCTCGTAGAGTGTGTGATGATAGCTCAGGGAAGGAGTTAGTACACTCCTTACATAGAACACATCCACAAACCATAAACACAATACTAGTAGCAACTAACACCATAAGAGATCTCATCTTCATGAAAGAATTAGTGAAAACTATCTCAATTCCAGTAAATTGGGCAAGAAGCAAGATCAAACACACAAATCTTATTCTAACACATATAGTCAATAACAGGTATCGTGATGTTGCGTGTGCGTGTGCGTGTGCGTATGACGCGTGCGCGTGCGTGTGTGTGTGTGTGAGAGAGAGAGAGAGAGAGAGAGAGAGAGAGAGAGAGTCAAATCTAAAATTTTATAAGAAATATCGAGGTCAACCAAGTACGTGTCCTCTTTGACTCTCGTGACATACGTAGCTTCGATTTAAGGGGACGTTTCGGTTTGATCAGCGTAACTAAAAGAAAGATGCCCTCGTATCCAAGTCGGTAAAATTTAATTTTGGGTATTTGAATTTGTAATTTATCTTTATTATTATTTAAACTTTTCTTTGAAATTAACTCTCTACTTTCACCGGTAATTTGTTAGGCTATGATTCAAGTCAATTTTTATAAGTGTTTGTGATTTTCCATCGTCTAAACCCCTCTAATGAATTTTTCTCGTGGGTTTGAACTACTATAATCACCTTTAAGTACATGTTTCACCTCATTTATCTCCCCGAACCTTTTTTTCTAACCTAAAAAAAAAAAAAAAAAAAAACCAAGCATGCAAGAATACAAGCCTTAATTGCATAACAATGATGCAAATTGACTAGGCTTAGCCCACTTGGACGCCTAACAAAGAGGTCCAGTGTCAATTCTTGTCAAAGGCAAAAAAACCTATTTATTATATCATCTTTTTCAAAAATTTATTGTGCCTTCATTTGGACTTTACTTTAAATCTTCAGGAGTTGTTTTTCCATCTGTTATAAACAAATTATTTGGAAGTTTTAGTAGTTAATTATTCATTGTACTAACAATCTAAGGGTATTTTTTATCTATAAAAACAAAGCTATGAAGGAACTAACATAAAACCCACAATTTGCTCATTCGCCTCAGCAAGTTTTCTCAAAGATATCTGAGACGAGGAACACGAAAAAAATTATATTGGATTTATAGAACAACATAAAGGGTTCACCGAGTTTTTGTCATGAATTACATTAATTTATATATACTAAAATAGCCATTCTTGTCATTCAGGGCAATCCAGGTAGTAACATAGATGACTTATAACTTTAAACGTTTTGAGTTTGAATTTTGACAATTTTTTAAGATTATGTCATGATAGATCTATCTCTCGTGAATACCCTAATTCCAGCGTGGATGGTATCTCATTGATCAAACAAAAAAAATGATTAATCAAAGTGCATATAAATTGACCTAAACACCCTTACACTTCTAAGACACATTGGTGTCTTCAATGGAAGAAAATAGAAACCATTGATGTCCACAAATCCAAAGACTAAAAAAAATTGGGTCATTTGGAAGCCGGTACACCTAATTAGACTTATTTGACAAAAAATATATACAACAAAATGTTTTGAAAAAAGTATACAGCTGAGATATAAAGACGTAAATGCCCATTTTAGAGTCATTTAATTCAAAATCTTTTACCTTTAATGCACCTTGATTCATGTGTATTTGTTAATACATATAAATACATATATACATGGATATGTATATATTTGGTTAAATCTCTTATCTAAATTTTGAATTATTTTTAATACACTTTTATTTATGCGTATTTTTTTGGGAAAGTAATTTTGTTTTCTAATTATATTTAATGCACATTGATTCATGCGTTTATTTTTTGAAAAGTGATTTTATTTTCAAATTAATTTAATATCCGAATAGTGTAATAATGTAACAATAACAACGTAACAACGTAATAGTGTAACAATAACAATGTAACAAAAACAATGTCAATACACTGTAACAAAAATAATATTCAGTAGTTTTGTGCATGTGGTAATAAATTCAAAATGAAAATAAACTATTTTGAATGAAATTATATGAAACTATATGTTTGACAAAATGTAATAGTACAATATTTTATGTAAATAGCTTGTTACATTGTTATTGTTACACTGTTATACTTTTATTGTTACACTGTTACTGTTACACTATTACACTATTCGGATATTAAATTAATTTGAAAATAAAATCACTTTCCCAAAAAAAAAATGCATTAATCAATGTGCATTAAATATAATTTGAAAACACAATCACTTTCCAAAAAAAAAATACGCATGAATCAAGGTGCATTAAAGATAATTTAAAATTTAAATAAGAGATTTAACAACAAGTATATATATATATATAAAAAATAAAACTGCTTATACTTTAAATTTTATCCTAGTCATATTATTTCCCTCAAAACCATCACCGATTACTTACTTCACCCACCATCTCTCTATCAGACTCAAACGTCAAGTTGTATCACTCATTTCTATTATTTGTTTAATCATTTATATATTTTATCTCTAAAGACATCACATCACTCATTTATATCATATGTTTAATCATTTAATATTTGATTAAATTATAGTTAATATAATTTTTATTTTAAACATTATTCAGATACAATAGTATACGCATGTTAAAAAAATTTAATATAGTGAGATCGATTTTTTAAGCGTTTGAATTTTATATTTTATCGTGTCTTCAGACACAAGTTATGACTAACATATATATATTAGATAAGTATATATATATATATATAAATATGTATTAAAGTTCTCTCATACAACTAAGAGATGTTTAATGCACTATTTTTCAAAGAAAAAGTGGTACATTAAATACACATAGATTAATGGAGGACAAAAATGCCACAAAAAAATCAGTAAAATTAAAATAGTGTACTTAGATACAAATAAGTATCAAAATTAAAGAGTTAATTACCCAATATTTTTTTCTGTGTATTTTTTTACAATTAAGTCTAATTTGGTATACCTCTTTCCAATTTACCCAAAACAATTATCATCTTAAAGCCCAATAGTTTTGGGTTCGAAATCCATTTAAAAGCCCTCCTCTCGAAGACTTGCCCAAGTGACTACCACCTTCTGTCACCCCTTAACTGGGCTAAGGATTAATTCCATTGAAGGTGTTTGATCCATTTAGCAAATTTAAAGATGGAGTACTAAAGCTTGTCTAAATGCAAAATGCAAAATGCTCGAAATATTAAATCCCTATGCTTTTTTCCAAAGTTTCCCACCTTAAAATGAGTAAATAAGTGTTTCGATGATTTTGGTTTTTGTTGATGTATAAATCGAGTCAACAATTGATCGAAGAGAGAAGATGGATTATCGGTAACCTATAAGGTGAGGGAGTCGGACTCTATGTCAAGGGAGGGAGGGAGGGAGAGGACAACATCTAGTGTGATAAGGGGTAATGGTTTTGTAGAATAAATCAAACCTAAATTCAGAGTGTTTTTTGGACACCTTTTAATTAGTTTTGATTGACTCGTTGGCTGAGTTGCTAAGCTTGTTTCATATTGAACTACCTTGGTCGATATACTAAGCTGACCTTGATGAGGCCTTAATGTTGGGCTGAACTAAATATATTTAGCCCATCTCAGTTTTTTCCTTTATCTCTTATGATTTTTAAGATGGTTATTTTCTAGCAAAAATCCCATTTTACCCTTGAAAGGTACAAAATTTTTTAGTTTATCTCTGAGTTATTAATTTTTTTATATTTTTCCCACAAAAAAATAAAAACGTTATAATGTGATCTACCATATAATTTTCATTTGGTCATCTATTTGTTTTGTGTCAAATCAACCAATTAAGAATCACAAAATAGATGGACGACTAAATGAAAATAAGAAGGTGAATTATATTGCAATATTTTTATTTCTTTGAGGGGTCATATGAAAAAATTAATTAATCGGGGGATAAATTAAGAATTTTTGTATCTTTCAAGGGATCAAAATAGGATTTAGCTTATATATCTTAGGAGTTAACAACACACATGACCCATAAAACTATGTTATTTGTGTCAATTAAACTTCTGAATTAAATTTTATGTCAATTTAGTCCCTTAACTATGCAATCTGACTCAATGTGGCCCTTCCATCCAAATTTATCGTTAACTTTAATAAAAAACCTCACCTGCACATTACGTGATTCAAGGATTAAGGTAGTTAAATGCATACACACGATATACAAAGTGGTCCGTTAAAGTTAACAATGAATTTAAAAAGCAGGACTAGATTGAGTCAAATTATATTGTTAATAAGTTATATTAACACAATAATTAGTTCATACGCTTAATTGACACACAGGACATAGTTTAGGACTTATTGTATAGTTTAATCTTATCCTAGTAAGTTGCTTGTATTGTATATTTAATCAAGATTATTTAATTCTTTTCCATATTTTATGGAGGGATTCTCAAACCACCACCTAGCACTTTGGTTTGTGCAATTGTGATATTGAAAGCTGATATTTTATTATTTATAATATCATTAGCTAAAATATAATTGGATTTTTGGAATATTCACATTGAATTAAATATTCTTTCAGCATATTATATAACCCATTTGGTTTCAAAAGTTGATGTGTTGAACCACTAGGGCAAGATATTCTCAAAAAAAAAAAAAAACCACTAGGGCAAGGACTTTATTGATGGGGGACCCATAGTCCACATTTTTAGAACATTGCTTTGTACCTTATATTTAGCTTTTTATGCGATGAGGATCTAGAGATAATCTCCAATAATTCATTTAAAAAAACAAGGTGACTTAAGAATAATATTTGAAAAAAAAAGCAATATAAAGATTACTTATTCATTTTTACACCTTAAAAGGGGAAAAAAATATTCAATGCAATGGTGATACCATGTCAGTAATAAAACCCACAAATGAACAAAGTGAATTTCAATTAAATAATTATTTACTTACATCGAAGAAAAGTTCGTAGCTACTGGCTTATATAGACAATTAGTTATTAGTTTGTGTGGCGTCCATTTTCTTATTTGTTTATACATTAAACAATTTTGGTATTACTTTATTGTTTGAATATGTAGCTAAAATCTTTCAATGTTGATTTAGTCACGGTTGGTGGTCAAATCTAGAATATATATAAAATCCTAATCCGTTGGTTAAATATTGTATTATTCATATCAT